ATGGAAAATTATTTTGAATCGAGCAACTACTTAAAAGAATTCCCAAAGGTTGTAATAAATTTTGGCACACACACACACAGAGAGAGAGAGAGAGAGAGAGAAAGCCACATGCATGGCCAGCAAGGACATGCGAGAACGTGGAAGTTGTCCTTCCTCGGCTTGAGCTCGGTGGCTGCCTGGGTAATGTCGTCCCAGATAAAAAGGTGATTGACGAAGCGAAAGCAAAAGTCATGGCCAAAATTCCACTTAGCAATGCAGTTGTCGCTGAGGAAAGGGCAGGACGAAGGACGAAGGACGAAGGAGAAGTAGGAGCAGAAGCAGCACTAACCGTGCGAGAAATCCATTCTGGCATTGCACTTAATCCGTATTGGGAGTTGGCGATGCTCAGGCCCCACGACAAGGAGCTCTCTCTGCTCTCAACTCTTAGAAAGACAATCCCAAACCCTGAATAAAAGCGCAGGCAAAAGATTTCAGTCAGAGAGAGAGAGAGAAAGTCCTTCCCTGCATACACTTGCTGGGCCATATCTTGATTCACACAAGTCCTTGGACTACTCCGGAGGAGGGCAATCACCGATCTGAGTACAAAAGCACACAGACAAGAGCCGGAGCCAGAGCCAGCGAGCAGTTAACAACATCTATTTTTATTTCATTAGGTAAAAAAATAGCGACCACAAGGCGGCAGCCAAAGGCGGTTTCCGCCAGCAAAACAAAGCGCAGCAGCAGCAGCAGCAGCAAGGTGGGCTTAGGGTGGAGACTGGTACTTGTGTGCCTCTCCACAAAAAGAAACCATTCGCGTGCTCCTCAATTAGGTTTGGCTTAATTTAAATTCTGCTTCAAGTGCTTTGCCGAGTGAGCTGGGCAGGACATTAGCAGCAAATATTAGCAAGAGCTTAAAGTGGTGGGAAGTAATATTAAAGGTGAGTAGTTGAGGGCAGTTTTTGAGCTGATAAACAAAGCAAATGGCTACAGGCAGGCTGTCAGTTGTAGCTGCCATTCTACATCACATTTTCAACCAAATAAACTTCAAAGTCTAACAAAACTTTCAGCACAATACAGCTGATATTTTCATATATTTGCCACCCATAACTTCAACTCAAGCTTCAATCAATGGACTTAGCCGACTCCGAGTACGCGGGACATCCGCACCATGCGCGGATCATGTGCTTGCCCAATGATCTCTTAATACGCTTAGAGCATGAGACGCACAAACCCTCGCTGAGCATCCTCAGCCTGCAGAGCGAACAGAATCGTGAGATATTCGCAGAGGCCTTCATCGAGGGGCACTCGGATACGCTGGCCAATTTGTGTGTCAAGGCGCTGGCTCGACGTGGCTTCAGGAATGTGCCGCAAATGGTGCTGGAGCGACCGGAGTGGCTGCGTGTCTTCTACGATGCATTGGATGTGGATCTGCCGCTGGTTGATTGCTACTTTATCGATGATCAGCGCTACTGGCAGCGTGTGGTGTGGGCCAAGAGTCCCGACAAGCTGCTGCGCATGAAGAGCTGGCACGAGTACGATTGGCGGGCCAAGGGTCTGAGTCTCAAGTACGTGGAACTGGTGGAGGACTGTCCGGCGGCGTACTGGCCCGAGGCGCAGATGGCCGCGCTGGCTGCCCTGATCCAGGAGCATGTGAGCGCCATGCACATCAAGCGGCTGCAGGTGCTGCCGGAGGTGGTGTTTGCCAAGAACGATGAGAGCGAGCCGGAAATAGTTATTTCCTCGGAGTCATCGGAGAAGGAAGATATATCCAGCGATGAACCGGACACAGAGGAGGATGTCGCTTTGGGTGAGGACGAGGACGAGGACGAGGAGGAACCAACAGCAAAGCGAGCGCCCAGCGTCAGTGCAGCGGAGCCAAAGACTGGCAGTGATGCGCAGAGGAAGTCCGCATCCTTTGGCGCCGTGCATATAGTTTCATCCTCTTCCGAATCGTCTTCCGATGAGGAGACTGCAGAGCGACGCAGAGCCCGTCAAGGGCGCAATGCTGCCAGGCAGCAGCTGCGGGGCATGGCAGCGGAGAAGCGTGCCAAACGCCTGCAACGTCGCCTCAGAAGACAGAAAATGCTCGAAGATCGCCTGCGCTCGGTGGAGCCCAAGAAGAAGTCCAAGCGAAAGAAGGCCATCAAGGGAGTCTTTGACATCCCAGTCGATCCGGAGCCCTCCGATAACGAAGAACAATTTGCGGATATGCGCAACAGGGAACTCTGTTTGCGGCATCACAAGAGAATTAGCTATCCCACGGAGCTGTGCCATCACATTGATCTCGGCTTTGTGCGGCACTTTGGGCAGCTGAGCTCATTCACGCTGGAGTTCCTCGGCCCAGCGGACACCAATTATCAGAGTTACCAATCGAAGTTCTCCTACGATGATATGAGACGCCTGGCCAAGGGTTTGCTGCAGCTGCAGCACCTGCAGATCTTTCGATTGCGCAACAGCCTCGTGGACAGTCTGCATTTGAGCATTCTGGCGCGTGCCCTGCGCTCCATGGACTCACTGGAGACTGTGGACTTTGGCTACGATCAAATGGAGGATGACTGCTGCAATGCGCTGCAAATTCTGTTGGATCGCCCGAAGATGTTCAAGGCATTGCAGTTGGAGTACAATAAACTTGGAGCCAATAGCATGGAGGTGATTGGCACGGCACTGGCACGCCACAAGGAGGATTGCCTGGAGTACCTCGGACTGGCACACAATCCTCTCTGTGACAATGCGCTGGGCAAACTCTTCCATCACATCCATGGCACTGGCCATGTGCATTCGCTCAACATCTCAGCCATAGAGGGGGCACCCAGCAAGGTAGTGGTGATTGCCCGAGACATTGCCTTTCTGCTGCGACACCATCAACCGCTGAGACGCCTCCAAATGGCGGCCATACCCCTGGGTTCTGCGGCGGCTTTGCCGCTCCTACGAGCCCTTGAGGGCAATCACAAAATTCTCTACTTTGACAGCCGCGCATGCGGTTTGGATGAGGATCAGGAATTCCAGGCGGACATTATTATCAGACGCAACAATTACTGGGTCACAAATCCGCCCACCGATGATATTTGCCATTTGATTAAGAACCGCAAACATCAGTTGATGCAGCAAATGGAGCGGGAGTATGGCACCTACAAGGAGTGTGTCCTCTCGAGGCCTCCCCTCTCCAGCAGCAGCGTTTCATCCATTGCAGCGGTGATCGAGGAGAAGGAGAAGGAGGAGGAGGAGTACGACATTTGGGCCGTGTTGGGCATCAAGACACGTCAGACTGCCAGGGCTGAAATAGAACCCAGTGAACCCTCCGCGAAATCCCTGCCGCCCTTTGTCTTTGAGGCCAACAAATTGAATTTGGAAGAATTTCGCGAATTTGTGCATCTGCCGGGGCCATCGAATCGTTTCTACTATTTTCAGGAGAGTCGGGTGAGGGACTAAGCATGAAACTTCCTGCATTTTGTTTACCTTTTGCAGGCATTAAACGCTATCAAAAGACCCAAACCCATCCGCAGTCTGTTTATCTACTGGCCCAAGCAGCTCCAGCCACAATCTCAAGGGGCTTGGAATGTCGTTTCATCTAATGGTCACTTTAAACCTTTTGCCCCATAAACTGCAGCGCTGGCATCAAACTGAAATCTAATTAAGTTGCTGGCGACGCCCCACAACCCACACCCCACACCCCACACTCTGCGGCCGCACCTCATTTGAAGGTCGTTTTGGAGCGTGGGAGGAGTGCCGCTGCAAGTTGCAACAAAGTTGAGTTGTTTGCATTTAAGCTGCGCAGATTTGGGCAACAGTGTCGCCAATTTAATGCTGCCCTTCCGCACCTTCCTTGTGCTCCGCCTGCCCACTGAGCCATAAAAGAGCCAAGTGCCACCCCGCCCTGACTCTGTGCGAAGTTCTTCTTGTTAACAACAAAGCCAAAAGCTCAGCTTGAATATAAACAAATTAATGCATATGCACAGCAACGCCTGAAGGCAGTGATGGAGGGAGAGTTCATGGCTTCAGGACTCTCATTCCCCAGGCAGATATATGTGCGGTGCTCTGCCTGTAATTCAAGTTATCAACGGCGCGCCGGAGCCACAAACTTTTCTCATCTACTTAACGCAGATAAGCGGATGCCTCGCCTTTTTTTTTTGTGCCGTGTTTACTGGCTTCTAATTTGCCCAGCCACACACACTCACACGCACATCTAGGACACCCAGAGCTGAGACACTGGCGCTAACTTAATTTTGCAGCCAACACTCAAGTTGGAGCCAAAAAAAAGACTCGCAAAACATTCAGAGGAGACATAACTAGGCGGCTGCTGGGGGGTGTGGAGTGCTGACTTCTCTTGTGTGAAATAAAATTAACTAAATACGCTCACGAGTAACATTCATAATAAACATTAAGCAGCAGCAAAAGGCGAACAAAAAAAGAAAGTCAAATAAATATAAAAAATAATATTTGCCAGACGACCGACGACTACGACTCCTTTTTGCGATTACGCCCGCACGGCTGTGTGGCCAGCTCCTGGGCCAGTGCTGAGTGCGGGTGCGGGTGAAATTATGGCATAAGTTACTTAGGACTGAAGCTGGCTTCCTGTAACACCCAAGGACTGCCCCGCCCGACAGCAGCAACTTGGCTACACTTTACTTTTATGTGGCGCTCTCGGAATGTACTTGCTAGCGGAATAAAGATACAGATACAGAGAGAGAGAGAGAGAGAGAGCAGAGAGCTAGCTCCCAGATACAAGCACATTTGTAGCGATAAGCGCCATAAAGTTATCGTAAGTAAGCGCCGAAAAAAATCAACGAGTCCAAGAAAAATAGAAAGAAAACGAGGAGGAACGTTGTGAGACGCGCTGGCACGAGTCACAACTTTTATACACGGCACTCAGTCTTGGCAACGGGTATTGTAGCTCCTCAGATTCGGTCCATCTGTGTAGATTTGCACTGCCAGCCCCCAGGCCAGTTGACTTTGCGAGAAATGACTGTTTCGATGTCCGTTTTTTAGGGGTTTTAAGGATATCAATGTAGCACGTACCCACATGTTGTATTTTCCGTTTGGGAGACTTTTTCCCGTCTCTCGTTCATTGAGTGATTGAATATGTGATTTGGGATTGATTTTAGGAATGCCCGCAAGCTATGCTGTGCCCTCGGATCAGGTGACAACCCTACGCAGCTGTCAGTCGCCAGAACTGTAATAGAAAATTAGCTGTGAGATTCATTTCAGCAGGCAAAGTCAAAGTAGAGAATACAAAAACCAGCAGGTAAGCAAAGAAGTAATGCAAATCGTGCGCCTACAAATGGTAACTCTTCCCGGTGGCAGGCCCGTCAAAATGTCAATAATGCGTGCGCTCTGCTGGCAGTTCGAACGGAAGCTGCCCCACCAGATGGCACGGATGGCAATGTTGCGCCGTGAGACCCATCACGATGGCACACGCTTGATGAGCGGCGATCGCGAGATCGTTGGCTACGGCGTGAACGGAAGTCCCATCTACGTCGATTGTGTGGAGTTCCCGTTTCCGGCGATTCGCTATCGCGAGGTCACAGCCGATCTGTGTGCGGTGCGCGAAAAGGAGCTGGGCGACTGGAAGGCGTTGTCGCTGCAGGAGAAGAAGCTGCTGTACCGGCATAGCTTCTGCCAGACCTATGCCGAATTCCAGCATTTTACGCCCGACTGGAAATTGGTTATGGGCGTTGGTTTTTGGTCCCTCGCCATTGGGCTGCTCATTTCGGTGTGGTATAACTTCAAGCTATATGATCCCGTGCCGGAAACGTATGCAGAGGAGCGACGCCAGGCGCAGCTGCGTCGCATCATTCAACTGGAGATGAACCCCATTACCGGCTTATCCTCCAAGTGGTGCTATCACACCAACAAGTGGAAATAAGAAGTGATCCACCAACTGCACACAAATCAATTACACAACACTCAAATCGATTTCACATGAACATAATAACGCAGACGACACACACACACAAAATGTTGCCAAATAAACCCACATACAATATACCCAATTTACTCTGCGAGTAGCGGGTATAAAAACGGGAGAGAACGCAGCGAAGCCACAAGTTAAAGGCAGCTTTTGCAGGATAGAAATGTTAAGCAGAGATAAACGAAGCGGTAGCTACCCTGCAGATATTTGAATGCTCCTGGAACTGCTCTTGGCAGAGATCTGATCAGTGTTGTAATCCCATCTGGAAGTTGCCCTACGACATACCATAAATACCCATTTTACCTAGGGTATTATGCTACTATGGCAAGCACTGTAACTTTTAGCACTGCTTGCCCTGCTTGCGCTGTCTTATAAGCTATTCCCCACTGGTCGTTCCAGGGGCAAATGTTGCACAGCAGACAGACAGTCAATTACGCAATGCCACGGGAAGTTTCGCGCTTTTGTTTTTTCATCCTCGGTTGTGTGTCAGTTCAGTTAGTAATGAAAGCTTTCACCTAATAATGCAGCAGCAGCAGCAGCGCATCGACGTATCTGCCAAATGGCTAGGGGTGAATGGTGGCAAGTCCCCACAGAGTTTACCTTGGAGGATCTGCGATTTATTTGACTTTGCTTGGCAGGAGCTTAAGGCAGCAGCAGGAGTAGCAGCAGATTGTGCACCTCATTGGATGTTTAATTAACCTTTAGCATAGAGTTATTTATAAACTGATTCTGGCTGCAAAAGAATGCCAAGTAGAGTAGCATTTTGGGTGCATGCCCAAAAACCTCAAACTCTAGCTTTAAAAGTGCACAAAAGTCTGCTGTGGAAATATTTAATTGTACATTCACGTTATTAAAGACAGTTTTCAAAAGGAAAAATCAAAAGATACGCCACACAGGCAGAGCTCATTGAATGTAAGAGGAATCTTCGCAATTTAATTCACTGCGCCAAGGCAGGCAGGCAGCTGGAGTCGAGGCGAGGCGAAGGAGTCCTCAGTCCACACACTCTGACGTTCGACTAACGACAGTTGGTCGTTAATAAAACAACATTTATACACATATACACAGAGCTTTATTTAAGGGCAAATATATTGTGTATATGAGCCGAAGTCAAGCTGCGCTTAAATGACAGGCGGACATGCATAAGTGACAGTGAAATGTTGCACAGGGAACTGTGCAGCAACTGCAAAATGGGCTGCTGCTATGGCTGAGAATTCTTGTAATCGCTGCCCTTCCATTCAGGTGAATAAATATGCCGCCTGTACATATGAAATGGCCATGCGCAGTATTTCTCTCATGAAGTGACTAAAGACACTCCATTAAAGCAGTGTAAGTGAATCTTATCTGCATGGCCGACACCTTCATAAAAACGGAAGGGGAAATGGAAGTCAACAAGCAGCGCAGAGTCAGCACAAAATTATAAGAAGAATCCCCCGACCCCGACCCCGCAATATTGTAGAGTTTCCGGTTACCCCGGATCAACTGTTGCTTACCCCACCCGTGCGTGGCAGGCAAACTGAAAGTGCCCCACTGCCACCTGTCTGTCTGCGCACACGGGAAATGCATTGCACTTCCGTCATCAAATAGCAATTTTGCAAACATTTGCAATTACTTTTACGAGTCGCTTTCTATATTGCATTGATTCCGTGCAAACATCCACAGGAATGCAATTTTCCACACACCCCAGCGCCAGGGCCCAAGGTGAGTTTGGGAGTGCCTCCTGAACTCCTCTCATCATATCTTTAGCAACTTTTTAAATAGTTTCCCCAGCCATAAACTTGTCAAATAAAATGCACAAAAAAATTAAAAGCAAAACTTGGGATTTGCAAACGAAAAGGAAGCGACCTCCTGCTCCCGAGGGTGCAAAAACTAAAAGCTAAAATCAAGCCAACGGGCCACCGGCGTCCAAACAGCAAATGGCGGTTATTCGCATTGGGAATGGAATGGCTCTTCAACGGGTCAAGCATCGCATCAGACATGTGTGTCTGTCTCTGATGAAAAAACTGGCAACTTTAGTTTTGGACATCCGGTCCATTTAGTGTACGAGTTGGGCCTGGCCTGGCCTGACCTGGCAACAATCAGTCGCATATCCTGTACCGGACTGATGCCTGTGGTTGTCATGCATTTTAAAGCACACTCGACAGAAAGTTGATTTCTCTTTTGACCCATTATGAAATTGCTCTGGCAATTTTGCATAAACAAATTACAAAGCAAACATAAGAGAGGGAGAAAGAGAGAAACAAACAGACACAGACACACAAATGTGCTGACCTTTCAGCACAAACACCAAGCACCCAACCCAAGGAACACTCCGCACAATCAGTGCTCCAAGTGCGGAGAGTCCAACTCCGACTTTTGCTGTTGTCAGGTTGGGGCAGGACCAGAACTAGTTGCTGAACAGGGTAACTTTTTCTTTCGTTCTTTCCTTACTTTTTTTGTTGTATTTTATCTGGCTGTTTGCATAGGATCAAAAAGCCCACACTGAGACCCGTGGCCCTTGCTGCATCCCAGGGCGTTTTTATTGAGTCCTTTAAGTTTTTAGTAAATACAACACAAAAACAACTCAAAGGCGGTGGCAAATTGCCAAACGCCTGCCTGCCTGCCTGCCTGCCTCCCCTGTGCCTTGCGATGCGTAACATTTGGATGATCAATGGCAGCACAAAGGGTCCCAGTACCAGTCCCAAATTCTGTTGAATTTTGTGCACAAGTTTTGCTTTAATTTGCCAGCGAATTGATTTCCATTAGAACCCAATGGCTCAAGCAGTCGTGTCGTGTCTGACAGTCTGAAAATGTCAAGCAGTTTTGCCATTCAAATGATGCATAAAGTTTTTGAATTTTTGATGCCCAGATTGAGTGTGTGCGTGGTGGGTGTGGGGTCGAGTGTGTGTGCGGTTCTGGTCTGCGTGTGTCAGTGAAGCGGTTGACCTTTGATTGGAAGCAGGGATAATAGGCATGTCTTGAAAGTTGCACCGAAACCACTCTTAGTGGTGAGGAATTGATAGGGCAGATGGCAGATTGCGCCACGCGTGTGGAGCACTGCTTTCATTTTTTCAAGCAGTGCAAAAATATTGAACTGAAACACCTTTAAATTCTGAAAATTACCACTGCCAAACTGTGTTGTGTGTGGGACTAATCAGGCAGGATTCCCTTTTCAAATTGGAAGCACTGCAAAAATGTATCTCAGCGTGCGGAGTAGCTGCAATTATTACCGACTTTTATTAGATACAACTGCCCAATGGCCACAGTCAGAGAGGTACACATACAATAAATATGCAACTGAACGCCAACCCATATTGGTAGAGTGCAGACTTGCATGATTTCTTGGTTTTAGCCATTGATGTATTTAGGGCAAATAACCGCATGCAACAGAGAAAGAGAAGAAACAACAACAACAACAACAACTGGAGGGGGGGGAAACCATCACAAACTGTAGACATTCAGCCATGAAATGGAAAATACATTTCAATAACTTTTAGACAAGTTTTATCCATTACGTCAAATGAAAGCAAGCACACGGCAAAGAAATCAGAAATTGCTCGAAAAACGAACCAGGTTTTATTGGGACTATTGATGTGTGTGTGTGTGTGTGTGTGTGTGTGGGGGGGGGGGGGGG